CACGGCTCGTCTCCCCCAGTATAAAATCAGTCCATATCTCAACTTTTGAGGAATAAAAGCGGACAGAGCCGAATCAAAGTAATCATAAAGCTTAAGAGAAGTTTTGTTAAAGGTAGTCCAAGCCTTTAATTTAAAGCTTTGACGTGCTGTCACAGAACCACAGAAACAGATCGGATCCATCAGCTTCAGGCGGAGAAAACCCTTTATCAGCCGAGAGCTGTCTGACTAACTGCTGCTAAGATTTGATTATCTCGCCTGGACAGCGAGCCATCAGCCCCGACTGACTTCAGTGGTCCCACTGCACTTCTGTAACAGTTTCTAGTAGGCCTGCTGTGGTACTACTTCAATGCGTGCCACTACAGCTGCTACCATTGGTTACTGTACCTATGATACCACCAATATCTGCTTTAATATAGTTGGTAATAATAAAAAACAAATAAAAAATAATAAAATAGAGTCTAAAACTATGAAGAAGTTTCACACCCCAGCTCCTCTGTGATTACTTCTTTTGAATTTGACCAAGTGGCCGCCTCTGAAGTTTAATAAGTTGGAGTTAAAAAGTGCCCGAAAGCTCCAGAATTGAGAATATATTCACAGAAATGTTGTAAGAAAAGTAAAGATCATTCCCAAAAGTGTGCTTACATTATATTAATAGAAGACAATAAGCATAAAAAAGCTGTGATGAGTATTGCTAAAGCATATAGTTAGGTCTGGATCAGGTGACCCTGAATCTTCCCTTAGTTATGCAGCAATAGGTGTTTGCTGCTGGGGGATTCCCATGATGCACTGAGTATTTCTTCTTTAGTCACCTTTCTCACTCACTATGTGTTAATAGACCTCTCTGCTGCATCACACTTCTTATTCATCTCTGTCTCTCTTCCACAGCATGTCTTTCCTCCTGTCTTCCTTCTCTCGCCCCAACCAGTCGCAGCAGATGGCCCCGCCCCTCCCTGAGCCTGGTTTTGCCAGAGGTTTCTTCCTGTTAAAAGGGAGTTTTTCCTTCCCACTGTCGCCAAAGTGCTTGCTCATAGGGGGTCATATGATTGTTGGGTTTTTCTCTGTATGTATTATTGTAGGGTGCACCTTACAATAGAAAGCTCCTTGAGGCAACTGTTGTTGTGATTTGGCGCAGTATAAATACAATTTAAATAAATTTGAACTGAATTAAATCTTTGTAAATCTTGAATTTCTCATAAATGACTGGTCTCGTGTTGTGATTCTACCATATGACAAAATGCCTTCACAAATCATGGTTTAGTCGAGAATTGGCATCCATCAAAAAGTGAAAAGCAAGCAAAAACATCAAATAACAAACAAACCAATGAAAAGAGGTTCGTTAGCGCATTTAGAAGTCATGGAAGTTCACCAGAGGCTTCAAACCACATGCAATAACCGGCAGGAAATCACTTGGATCAAATAAAATACAATTATTTCCATAATCCCAGTGAGAGATGACATCCCTAATATAGCCATCTCACACGCACAGCTCCGAGTGTAAGTACAGATGCTCCACCCACCAGCTTTGTTTATGAGGGGCAGCCAATCAGAAGTAAGTTGGCTATAAAAGGATGAACTGTGAATTATGCAAAGCGCTGATAGTGGAGTAGCCCAAGAATAACAAAGTCGAGCTGGAAATCAACATAATAAGGCCCCTCGGAGACAAGCTTAAGATCAAAATTGATCTGAAGTCTGTTTCATAAATGAGTGGAGCGGCTCAGCAGACAGATGAAATTGGGGTTGTACTGGGAACCAGATTGCAATCAGTGAAACGGAGTACAAGGAGGTATTTTAGAAAAACAAACCGCCACAGTATATAAAATTCCAAAGGAGAAAAAATGCTGATATACTCACTAAATGCTAATATCCTTTTACTGCATCTATTTGCCCCTAATAATGCTGCAGTCCACCTCCTGCTGCCGTTACACCTCCTTCTTCCCTTTAATATGTATGGTACTTCTATTCAGAGTTGCACTGAGACATTTTCAAAATGTTTTTTTGTTCTGCAGCCCTCCTTTGTATCCGCAAGATACTTACTTTCACACAAAGGCAAAAAAAAAAAGGCACATGCCATGAGAGGAATCATGTGCCTAAAGCTGCTCAGTTAATCAGGAAAGCCACTCATTTTAGAATTAACATTTCTGTGACTCACAATAGAAGCTCAAACTTAGTATGAGCATTGAATTAGCTTGTCAGTTTGAATCTGTGTGAAAGGGCCTTTCAACTGTACTGCTGGGAAGCCGTTTTTATTGCTACAACTGCTAATCTCGCTCGTGACTTGGAAAACAAGAAAAATCCCAATATTCTTCATTTTGGAACGACATATGCATGCGTATAAATAAAGTGGCATCCTTACAGTAGCACAAAGAGCCTAATTCCTTTGGTTTGCTTCTGGGTGTGTCTCAGCAGATAGATGAGGCACATCCTCTGGGACCTGTGGGACAGTCCCGGAGAAGGCTTCGATATGGGCAGGGCGGTGGAGAGGCGGAACAGGGAGGTCTGCAGATGTGGGCTCAGAGATAAGCGGCAAAGCTTGGGTAACAGGATAATGGCTTCCTGTTTGAATTTGAATTGTTTGTCAGCTTATAGCAGCTTTGAACGGGGACGTGTTTATCTGAAAATCTGGTGGAGAGAGAATGCGAAAACAAGAACAACAAAGGGTCCTTTTGCTGTTTACTGGGATAATGATTTAGCTTCGTCGAGTGTGACAGCAGCACCGCACCTGACAGGAAGACGAGAGATTAAACAGGAAGTTGTCTGGAATCTGGGCGGAGCGCTGAGCAGCAAATCTGCAATTACACAGAGTCACAGACGCTGACAGCGTCTTCGAGAGAATTTTGGCATATTCACTTTGATAGTGGCTTTATAAAGATGACAAAGTATCCAACAGCACGTTTCAAAAATACAAGACAAGAAGAAGTCAGATGGGAAGATTTCTCAAGCCCTGTGTACTCATTTACACATTGCACCAACTGGCCTTTTCAAATTTTTATTTATTCTAGCTTTGGAGGCAAAACCTCAATTTTCTAAAACAAATTGTGACACTCACTGTCCCGTTATAATATGGGATTATCTGTCCCAGTTCTTCTCTATCTGAAGCATCCCTGTTCATGCCTGCAGCCTTGAGATGTTAAGGCACATCTGTCTCTAGCAGATGGCTCATCCAGAGAGAGAAATGAGAAACAGATACAGGTGGGTCTCTCGTCTCTGCACACTTGATTGGGGAAACTAATGGAAAAGTTATGCGCCCGAGGAAATTCAGGACTGGACTCGATCTCCAACTGAATGCATGACAGCAAACTGAGCTTTAGATTTACCAGGACAAATTCAAAAATAAAATCCACACAAACCTAGACGACAACTTCAACTCAAACTTCTTCTTTTCAGGTTAAACGGCTGCAGGGTGACCTCCCTCCACCTCTGCACCAGCTTAAAGCACTCAGCTCACAGTGGTCTAGTCCAAGTTTATCACTTCTGAGGGATTGAGACAGACTTGTCAGACAGCCTTGGGCTCCAGCGCCCTGAGGTGGAGCTTGGGGGTGAATACCAGATATCATCAGCCCTTTCAGCTAACAGTCCTGGAGCCTGGTGGGTTTCAGTGTGACCAACATGTTCCATATTCATGTGACATTCTGCGGCGGTAGCCTGCCAGAACTTTGTACATCGGGCCTTGATTCTATCCTGTGAATTTAAAACAGCACGGACCTAAACTGACAATAACGGGGGGTCCAGCACTGTATGTACAGCATCTGACGTCCACAAACAGGGGATCCCTGACGGAATGGCCTTCAGCTATAGAGGAATTTATATAAATAATTTTCTTTTCTTTTAGAAGATAAGTTGCCAAGAGATGCAAGACTTAAAGTTAGAGAAATTATGAAAACACTGGAATAATTTACTGGCAAACGATGAAGAAAGCTGCCTTCTGGTAATTACCACATTACAACAGCTAACATCTGGAAAACTTAGATTTTCTCTGAACACTCCAATATAACCAATTTGGGAATAGCAGCATAGATATAAACTGTATATCAAAGATGGACGTAGCCCCCTTGACATTAACTGTTGGTTAGTGAATTCGAGTTTTAAGGATTTTTATTTTGTAAATTCGCATTTGCTAAATTGTCCATAAGTCCACATTTGGATGATAGGGTGAAGTGGTGGTGAAGTTATCAGCTAACACCAGACTCCAGACTATATAGGGGGATTACACAGAAATGAATACATGTTAATTAGTGGACTGGACTGCTTCTTGTATAATGCTTCCACTCTTACTGAGCATGCAAAGTGCTTTTGGACTATGAACCAAACTCAGCTGCTCACACATATACAGACATCAAGCATTTGCATAAATTGCCAACCAACAACTCAGGATTGAGTATCTCGCTCAAGGATGCTTCGACATGCAGACCAGAGAAGTCTGAGAGTGACCTTCTGATTTTTGTATGCTACTTGGTGGTAGGATATAAATATTCAAAATGATATTTTGAATGCTATTTTAATTAAAAAGGTTCCAAAAGCAAAAATATAGTGAAGAAGTCAAATTCAGTCACTTGAGCGGTGATGTGACTGAGCAGAGAGCTAGTGGCTATACCCCTCTGTACTTAATAGAGGCTGTAAAGCTTTGATACACTTTCAATAAATTAGTCTTTTTGTGAACATTCAATGTCCATTGAAAATGTTAACATTGGGAGTCTATAGGGAGAGCCTCTAGTGCCCACTCAAGCAAGTGCAGCTTTAAAATGGCTTAATTTTTCAGTCCTCTAGGTTAATGCTTGACTCTAAACCATTTTTTGCTTTCATTTTATCTTCACCTCTATGTTTCTATGTTAATGCTCCATATAAATCAAGCATGATAAAGCTGCAAATAAATAACCGGAATGTTTTAGAACAATTTAAAAAATGGTCGCTTTCTTCAAAACCAACCAATCTTTCTGTTTTGCATGTGAAACGTCGACTGGCTTGCTGGGCCTCCCTTTTAACCCCCCACAGGCTTTACTCACTCAGCAGCTGGCAGCGCAGGACCTGTAGGCTTGTCTTCATGGTATCATGTGATCCGGCTCCTCCTCCACAGTGCTCATGGTTCTCTGAGAGAAACACAGCAAAAAGAAAGCAAGGTGAGATGAAACTCAGGGCTTGGATATCAACTCGCATTTAAATGATCGTTAAACGCCAGTGTGATAAACCGTGACTATGTATGGAACGCTTTTAGCAGAACAGACAGGGGAAAGGACGAGATCGCAGACAACATCGTCCAGCTTAACCTTGACAGCTTAATCCTTGTAATGACTGCCACCCAGCAGTTACACCTGTGAGAGCAAATGAATTACATATTTCACAAATCCAGGTAGGACTGCAGTGGTGGTCAGCCTCAATGGTCGGGCTGCAAATCAGCATTGGCATCCTGCAGGCTGTGCTGGTCAGTAAAACCAATTATGGGGCATTAAACATTGACCAGTGAGCCTTGTTCTGAGACAGCCACTGCGTGTGTGTCAGCGAGACCAGTACCCAAGGGCGCTCTTTAGGAGAATGACTCACTGATGGCCTTCTGCTAAATAAAAGGCCATATATACACACACATATCTCTATTCACCCCCGGAGGAGTGTGCGTGTGTTCATGTTTGCCTCCTTTTGTGGATATGCCCCCTCCAGGTTTAGGGCTCTGCTTGCGGGCAACCTGTGCTTCTGTGGGAGACGTGTGAGATAAGAGGGACAGATAACAAAAGCACACTTTATTTCCCATAAATGTAGTCCCACTCAGAGAAATGAAAAGAGACAACACATTACATCTGAGTCATCCAGTTTATCGCTGTCACTGGAGAACATTTTAATGCTTGTAAAGTAGTAGAGACCATAAATCTGAATGCAACCTTAAGCAATTTTATAATTTATTAAAAAGACTGTTAAGTAACAGGTAAGGAAGCAACAGATACATAAAATAACAGATACATAGATGGATGTTTTTTGTAATATATTATATGACATTCAAATATTTAAATTGCATTACAGCTGTGTTGCTAGAAGGATGCTTATATTGATTGACAGCCGGGTGCTGCTAGCTGTCTGCTAGGCTAGCAAACAGCTAGCAGGTGTAATATCTTAACTGTGTTTGTTGGTGTCATTTTGAGTCTTTTTAATGCAATTATCTGACAAATAGCATGGTTTACCTTGCAGTCACTGTTGCTAACAGACTGTTTAAGAAGTCTGTGCTTCAGTTTTATTTGATTATTGTATTAACTAGCGTCAGTTAGCAGATGTGATGCACCTGTATAGATGGACACAGCTTGCTAACCAAGCCTGCTAGTGTTAGCTAAACATTAGCAGGAACAACATTTACAGAAACAATCCTAAACAAGAGAAATCAATGGCTGGAGCAGTATGGCTAAAGTTTTAAATAGAGCCTATATATGGGATCAGAAAATAAATATATATTGTAAAACATACACCCTTAGCATTAGTACTCCAGTACTGTTAAGAGACTGGAGGATTAAGAGTAGCTCCTGCAGGTACAACTGCCAGACACAAAACGTGGCAGGAAAATGTAACTTGTTAAATTTAACAAGGGGAAGTCATAAACATGAAATAATGGAGACAAGCTTCTATCAAATTACAAACGAGGAAAACAACTGCAAAACTGTAATTCTCCCGGCTCTATTTCCATGTTACAAAAGACAAACATAGACTAAAATGACGGGTAAAAAGAACATAATAAAATACGCAACTAAACAGGCTATCGTGACACATCATTAGATGACATAGACTCTCAATTTTGCTCTCTTTGCTCTCAATGTTTAGAAAATGAAAACAGAGACGCTCGCTGCTTCACTGCTCTTAACTCACAGCTTTGACTATAATGATATGAGCTTGGTTGTAATGGGCTGCAAGAATACAGTAGTAGAAGCAGCAGCAGCAGCAGAAAATGAGTTTTTCAGATATACACGTATGAAGAAATGGAACTAGCTACAACAGTCCCAAACCCATCTTCACTTTCATATGACCATGAGGATGCTGAGATGATAGCATCTCACCACCATAGCTCCCTCATGTGCTTTAATTTGTTAGCGTCACGTTCCCGGCCTAATGAGCTCAATGGAAAGGTGCAAAGACAGCAGCTGAGCCTCTCTACATTAATTACGCTTCATCAGTGCTGCCAAACCGGTGCAGACTCATATTGGTGATCCTTAACTTGCAAGGCACAAGTAGTGAGGCTATGGGTAGGTGGATGGAGGAGACAAGATAATGCCAGGTGGTGTTTCATGTATACTAGTCATCACAGGGGAAAGGAAGTTTTTGTTGAAATGCGATTCAGCTCTTCTGGCCTCCTGTTGTGGAGCTGGCTCATGGTTCAGCTCTGTGCACACCAGCAGGTAAAAGATAATAGCGCATGACAATCAAGGTCACGGCACTGCCAAAAATCCCAGACAGGATGAGAGGTTCATTGGGAGCTGTTGACAGATTTGATGCTTAACACTCGTTCACCAACCTGGATTCAATATCACTACCTCAGACTTCTTTGCAGCTGGGATTAGAAGGGATTGCAGGGTGGCTGTAAGTCACAAATGCAAGCAAAAAAACAAAAAACATCTGTTTGCAGAATACAGTATGCTTAAGAAAGCATGTCTGGTTTAAATCACTCTTTAATTAATTCAAGAACCAAATAATGGGGCAAACTAGAGCAGCAATCAGTGACAACAGCCATGATTTTGGCCAGTGAGTCTCTGCATGAAAGAAGTAGCTGGGATGGAGGTGGGTTACAAAATGGCTTGCAACAACTGTAGGCACATCATAGATTAGATTTGTAATGTGGGTATGCAGAAAGGTTTGGCACAGAGAACATAGCTACAAGTAGCGCTTTCTGCTGTGTCATGTCATTGGCCCAGTCCAAACCCAACTCTGTAGCTTATTTTTTGTATTTTTACTTAAAGCAATACTGAAAGCCACATAAAGGATGGATGTACATTCTGGGGTCTAAAAAGCGAAGACAGTGGAGAAGAGCCTTAAAGCCTGGACTTTTTCTAACAGGTGGTGACTCCACTGGTTGCAAAACGGCTGAAAATGAACCTAATCCTCACTTGACATATTGTCATGGTCCTGGGTCATTTTGACCCAGCGTTCTTAGTTTTCTTGTGTTTTTGTATTCATTCTATGGTTTCCTAGGTTGTTTAGTTTTTTGCATTTCCTTTCGTGTCTCTACCCTCTATGTGTATCTGTTTTTATGGTGATGTGAGTTCTTGTGCCATCTTGTTTTCTCCAGATTTGTTTTCTCTCTCTCTCTCTCTTTTTCCAGTCTACCTCTTCGTGTACTTCCTGTTTTACTTTGAAGGTCGGTGTGTTCAGTTTTGTGTTCTCCCTGTCTCGTCTGTGTAATCAGCGTCAGCTGTGTCTCCCAGCTGTTTCCTCTCAGTCCTGATCTCCTCTTGTATTTAGTGTCTGCGTCTTCCCCTGCTCGTCGTTGCATCGCTAACAACACACTTTAGGGTCCTAACTCCTTGTAAGTACTGCAAGTAGGGACCTTGATGTGAAGCATGTTTTCATCGGTTTATGAAAAATGCCTCTCCACGTGCATCTGATAAGCAACATCCATTCCCAGTTTAAAAATCCAATGTGTCCTAAACTGGTGAAATTGGGGGAAACATACAATCTTTGTCCAACTCTCAACAAATAAAAAGCAAATCAACAAAAACAATTCACTGATATACACTGGGATCTTTGCACATAGCCACCTAGCTATGTGCTTCCTCTGAAGAGGGAAAAAAGTTGCATGGCAACTGACATGCACACAGCCATCACCATAGCAACCCTAATGGTAGATTATATTGAAATTCATTCACAAGGACATTTTTTTGGCTCAAACACAATTGAGAAAAATGTTAAAAGAGTCAGATTTGGAAATTCTCACTCACCACAGGTAGAATGAGAAATCCAGTAGCAACCTGCTTGTCTCTGGGACTCTGCTTTGTGCTTGCAGCCCTGCTGACAGGACCAGGTCTGAATAGTGTGTCTGGAGGGGGTACAGACTAGAGGCCAAAGCCAAGGTCACCCGAGACGGCACAATGAAATAAACCTGTCACTCCGTTGCACTGTGGCCACCAGCCGCAGGGATAACAATGCTTTTAATTTTGGACTTCCCACGATTCTGCGGTTATGTATAGGGGCTGTGATAGCAGGCTGGCTGCTTGCCCACAGTGGCTGCAGCCTGGCAGCTTTTCCACAACACGAGGAGGGAGGGATGAGGAGGAGGAGAGGGAGGGAGGGAAGTGTGGGAGTCGATGATGATGGTGTGAACCACACTGTTGGCCTCTCTCAGACAACTGATAACAGGACTTCCAATCACAACTCTTCTAACTGATGCCTTTTTTGTCCCTCCAGTTTTGATGCTACACCCTCACGGTTTGGGTTATCTCTTTGTTGTGAACTGCAGGGAGCTTTCACATAGCTTCTGCTCAGGAAAGAGATACAAACACTAAATGTGGAAGCTGTGGTTTGAGAGTACATCAGTGTACAATTCATTGCGTCAAACCTCCTCCTTGGTGTGATCTCAGCGGGTTTAGCTTCATCTTAAATCGTGCAAAATCAACTTCCCCTCCACCCTGCCCTTCCAAGGCATCCCAGGGGACATGCCCAGTCAGAGGGCGTCCCTTTTCCCTTTGATGCTGTTTTACCCTTTGATGGAAATCAGCAAACTGCTCCTGATAGCCGAATTCATGTGTTTCCTGCATTGCCCCAGCAGAGACTGTGGCTGCGCCTGAGGAGCAGTGATGGGAGTAACGCCTTATTGAGTGTTACTGTAATTACATTTTTCTGTAACACAGTAATGGAACAGATTGCTCTGCTAAATCTGGTAATAACACTAAAGATACTAATGAAACAATTATGCTGTTTCGTTTTGCATTAAATAAATTCTTTGCTTTCTTTCTTGTGCTCTTTTCAATCCAAAAGTGATGATGGCACACTGGCACCAAAATGACCATCTACGTGCCAGCATTCGCACGAGTTCAAGCCTGACTGTGCAAGCTGATTAGCGATTACAAGTTCTGTTATAAAACTATTATTCATCAGTGAGAAGTTTTAAAAAAATAACAGTGGC